CTACCAAAATCGCAAACCACGTCCTCGACGTCCACTCCACTCCCGCGCATTCTCCCGCAAAGCATGGCTGCTTACCGAGAAGCTCATGCCTGCTCGTCTCGTTGCACGTACGGTACCCACCTTTCACCTACTCAGCAACGTGTGCACGATGCCGGCGCCTGCGGTTTCTGACGTTTGGCCCAGCAGGAGCACGAAGAGGAGGTGCATTAGGCACTCTGCGCCAGATCCACCAGAATCCAAAAGAGGTAGGGCAGAATCCAGAGCAAGAGGAATTTGATGGCGAATGCCTGCCAATCGTTGCGCTCGTGGAAGCGAATGACGGCCATCTGCCTGTTCAGAGAATCGCGCTCGTCTGCCATTTTCAAAGAACAGTGTAATAGTTGTGGGTGTGAAATGGCGTCAAGGAGAGCAGCAACACTGCGATTGGAATTGGAGGAATTGGAGTCGGTGCGGCAAAAGTCGCGAATCGAGTGTGATGGGGTGAGGATGCATGGGGTTGTGTTGCGTGTGTATAGCACCACCTGCCGGCTATCTGCCGTGCATCGCAACCTTCACTCACGACTCAGCACGCAGAACCACAACCTATGGTGAAGCGGTCAGAGCGCTTGAAGAAGACTCACACTCCCCCGTATCGCGGTGTTTCCTTCGATCATCATGCAGCTGCAGGCCTGTACCGACACGTCAAGATACGCTCGGAGCGCACTCCCTCTTGAACAGTGCTTTGGCGCGGCGAGGTCAAGTCATGAATGAGTACGATGGAGCAGCAGAGACGCTGTACGAGCTGGCCCAGTTTCAGCAGTGTGAGAGGACTTTGATGATCATATATATGCTGGCCAGTGGGCGGGCGCGCAGATCGTGCTGCAGCTGGCAGATCGATCGCGCAGGCTGATGGGCAGCAACACGCGCTGAGCTCCTGCTGCAGCTGTCCCTCTGACTCACGACGATTGTTTTGTCATCGTGCGACCGGTAGCTGCAAGGAGTTGCATTTTGATTCTTCATTGTGAATCATTTGATTCATAGAGAAGATCAGAAGAAGCACGACGGTGACTGTACTGAGACCTGCTTCACGATTCGAATCGTGGGACACTTTTTGCTAGTGCTGCATCATGCCAGAAGGACGCCGGAATGAAGCTGAACCACGCTGTTTGGCACGGTATGGTGCCATTCCTGGCACACCGTCGACCATGCAAACATGAGTGCATGCAAGTGGTCGGCCACAATCGTCAATGAAAATGGGTCTGAGTGCACCAACTTGGCCGTCAGTTGCTCGCGCTTCCTCACGAACGACCCTCGTACACCCGTTCCATCCCCTATTCCATCCTCTACCTGCGCCTCGCTCTCAACCACCCATGCCATCCACGACCGATCATCTTTTCATTCAAGACTTCAACGTGTCGAGGCAGCTGCATTCACTCGTCCCACTCAACTCGGTTGCGTGTCATCATGGAAGACGGAGCTGGTTCTGATCAGCCTGTTGCATCTCGCGAGCTCGCTCGCGGCAGTCTTCTCGACGAGGCCATCAACGCGCAGATAGTCGAGAGGATCCGCGCATATTTTCGATGGCAGAGGCTCGTGAGTCACTGGAGCCCATTTGAACGTGCTGGTTGGCATGATGCGCTTGAAGCTGCCAGCTGACCTCTTGTTGGCCACATGCAACAGTTGAGATCCGCCGTCGAGCACATGCGAACGCTCGGATTTGATGTTCATCTGTCCGACTTTGACTGGTCGCCCAGCGGCATCTACGATGCCCATTTGCGTCTGAATGAAGTGATTTACGTGCGTTGGTCTCAGCTTCGGGATGCTCTTTTTCTCATCATGTCGATCGCAACGCGTGCACTTGTGCCCTCGACCGATTCGCAATGATGAGCGTATGTTTGTGGCGCTTAAGAGAAGAGGCAACATTTAGCACGAGATCTCTTACTCGATCCAGTTCGCGCGCGAGGAGAGCAGGCACATCGCATCACATCTTCGACCCGCCATTTATTGATGCTTTCGTCCTGCTCCTCCCCGCTCCCCTTTGCCCATCCCACTCGCAGGAGCGCGACGAGGCGAAATGGCGTCGAAAGGTGAGTAACGGAGAGTTAATGTTGGATCACAAAGTGCCCTTTTCGGTGTCACTCAAATTATTGCGCTCATCGCCGCTCGCAGCTAGGAAATTTGATGAGGACTTCTCATTTCGAGGGCTTGGCGCTACACTTGTCCGACGTCCTAGTCTTCGGGACAGACGGTCATCCAAATTTTCGCGACTCTTATCACAAGGCTTTGACTATATAGAGGTGCGTAATGACTGTTTCAGGTCTTCCTGACCACGTGTCTGTGATGGGTGATGGATATCAAGCGTGGGCTTCGTGCGGTCTGCGAAGGTGCAAGAGCTCCGGCTGACACTCCTCCATGACAAATTGCAGACCGCCCTCGAGCGAAGGGAAAGGGACGAGGCAGTGCGCAACACCATCCGCAGGTGGTTCGCCGCGATTTCTGTCGCATTTTTCGCGGTTTTCTTGTACGGGGCCTCGAAAGTGATAGTCTGAAACAAAGCCAAGGCACTAGGCTTCGCCTCAATCGCATTTACCTCTCTTCGCAACTTACTCTATGAGCGTCGTGATGAAGCAGTTCGCACATGAGTGTGTGACTCGATCGGGTCAGCATGTTCCCGCGCCGATCGAGGCGAGTGAGCATCTGACCCGAGTCAGGCGGCGTTTGTAGCAGACGAGAAGATTGACTGCATGCATCGATGTCTACCTAAAGAGCTTCACCGAGGCAAGTCCGAGACATGTGCAGCATAGCAACTAAGGGCAGCGACATAGCTCCTAGTCCATTTGGAGGATACGAGGGAGTGTGCGCGTGATTTTTCGAGTTGAGCACAGTGCTAGCATGTATCAATCATACGCCCGCGCTACTCTCAAGCGCTGTTTGGAGAAGCTTTGAGGCACGGGACCCTGAGCGGATTGTCGCGCAGGTGTTCAACAGGGATGA